TGGCTCAGGCCTATTATCCTAGCTACTCTGGAATCTAAGATCTCAGCATTGAAGTTCAAAGCCAGCCTGGGATGGAAAGTTGGTAAGTAACCAGCAAGAAACCAGCAAAAAGGCAGCAATGGAGCTGCGGCTCAAATGGTAGAACCCCAGTCTTTAATAAAAAACAAACAAACAAAAAGGCCAGGTGAGAGGCCCAGAGTTAAAGCCCCAGAACTGGTGCATACATGCGCATGCACGCATACACACACCTACACACACACACACACACACACACACACACACACACACACCCCAAAAAAGGGAAAAAAAACAAATGAAATGTAAAAAGAGATTCAAAGGCTTCAGGTGCCCAGATTCAGACAACAGTGAGAAAGGTACTTCCTGAAGAGACCTGTGGCCTGTAGGCACATTGCTACCCCCCTTTTTGTCCCTGAGTTTTTTTTGAAGTGACACTGAATCAGCTTCTTTTGGATTCAGTCTTTCATATACCTGAACTCTCCCACACCACCCAGGCCAAGCGGTTTTATTATTGTGCTAAGATGTGCATTTCATAAGATTTACCATTTTAATTACTTTTAAGGATGGGCTCTGGTTTAGGTTCATTCACATAGTTGCATAGCTACTATTGTCATCTATCTCCAGAACTTGTTCATCTTTCCAAACTGAAATTGAACACTAGTTTTTCATTCTCCCCTCCCCAGTCCTTATTGACTGTGTTCTGTTTTCTGTTGCTATGAATTAACTTCTCTAGCCATATTGTATATGGAATTGTATAGCATGTGTTTTTCTTTTTTCTTTTTTTTGGCAGTACTGAGGTTTTCTGTCCTCAGTACTCAGGATTTTGAGTTTGCTACTAAGCAAACTTGGGCCACTTGGGCCACCCTGCCAGCCTATTTTGCGTTAGATTTTTTGTTATTTTTGTTAGTTTCATTTTATGCCTGGTTCAAACTTTAATCTTCCTATTTGTGTTTTGTTACATCATGGGGGTGATAGGTACATACTGTTGGATGATAGTCATAACCATTGTTTGAGAAGGACTCTCAAAACCTTTTTGGCCTCAACTAGCACAATCATGATTCCTTGATCTCTAACTCCCAAGCAGCTAGGATTGTGGGTTTGAGCCACTGTTTCTGGATACCTTTGTCTCTGTGACTGACCCACTTTACTTGATATCATGTCCCTCATCCTTCCTCCTTTTGGTTTTTACTGTTCCTACGATCTCATCCTCACAGATTCTGCTTTCTTCCCTTTCTTCCTTGTCCCGTCCTCCCAACTCTTCTCTGCTTTTTTCAATATACTATCTGTAACCCTTATTCTGTGGAAAACAAAATCACTAAATGAGTCATAGAATGTGGTTTCCATCATCTGTGAGATGCTCAGCCAGATACTGTTCTCTAAAGATACTACCTGCCTAAAAACTGGTTTTAAGGCCATTTCTTGACAGAGGTCATGGCAAGATTATCAAGACAAGAGGAGAGGAAGCAGGAAAACAAGAGACCCCAGGGAAGGTATAGAAAGCACTGTGTCCTGACAGAAAGCTGAGACCTGAGCCCCTGCAGCCTTTTCTAGGGACTGGCTCTTCATTTTCCCACTGCCATATGCTCTGAGACTTCTGGACCCTTAGCCAGTTGCTTCCCACCTCTGTGGGATTGTCCCTGGCTTCCCACCATGTCAGAAATTTTTGTTTGTTTGTTTTGTCATGTGATAAATACCTGAGAGAAATACTTTAAAGGAGGAAAGGTTTGTTTGGCCTCACAGTTTCAGTTTGTGGTTGGCTGGCTTCATTGTTATAGTCCTGAGGGATGGGGGGATGTGGTGTTAAGGACTGAGCTGTTGTGCCATGAGCCTATGGTGACATTGGACTCTGCTTACCTCCTACTGCTAGGAAGGAGAGAGAAAGAGGGGAAAGGGAGGCAGAAAGGAAGAGAGGGAAAGAGAGGGGAAAGGAGAGAAGGAAGGAGGAGGAGATGGGGAAGAAGCTGGAGGAGACAGATAAAGAGAGAGAGGGACAAAGAGAAAACAGGGAGAGAGATAGAGACAGAGAAACAGAAGACAGGGAGCCAGAGGAAGAAAAAGAACAGACACAGAAGACAAAGACAGAGAGTAAGAAGCTGGAGTAGGAGGAAGACAGAGATAGTCAGAGACAGAGGCAGAGAGAGACAGAGAGAAAGAGGAGGAAGGAGGAAGAGGACAGAGACAGGGACAGAGAGGAAGGAGGAGGTATAAGAAGAAGAAAAAGAGCACAGAGATAGAGATAGAAATAGGAAGGTCCCAGATGAGACATGCCCCCAGTGATCTACTTACTCCTACTAGGTCTTACCTCTGGCCCTCAGGAATTTATCACTTCCCAAAACACATGAACTCTCTAAGGAGCATTTCATTTCCAAACCGCCATGTCTGCACATGAAACAACAGGACCAGAGGTGGGGGGTAGTGGTGGTTCCACAAATCTGGCTGCCTTTTCTGAGGTCTTTCTGCAGAAACAGCATGAAGGCTGGGGAAGCCTTCTAGCTAGCTGCCTGCCTAGCCAAATGTGTGCAGGGGAATTGTCACCAAACTCTATTAAAAACTGCCTCTTTTTAATCTCTTAATTTTCTTCCCTTTGGTGATGTGAGGGCTGATACGTTTGGAAGCTCTTTGGTTGAAGCTCAGCGGGATTTCTACCAGCCCTGAAGGCGGTTATCAGGAGTATGCCTGCCAACAGGTGAACCCCAGGGCTGCTGAGAGATGGCTGTGACACAAAGCCCATGCAGGCAAAGAGTGACCCAGTTTTAACAGGAGAGTACGGACTCTGTGATTTTTCTATTATTGGACTTAATATGATTGCCTATTATTTCGAAGAAAAGGGAATTGCTGGCAGCCTCTTTGTGGGATTTCTCTGGAAGGGCTGGCAGCAGCTTACATTTAGCTATTCCTTTCATGCTGCTTGTCAGGTCATTTGTGATGGGTTGAATTGAACACTTACAAACAAATAATGGCTTTCCTATTTGCTTCACCAAAACAATTTCTTTTAACATGTCGATTTTTATTTGCATTTTTAGTCTTCACCGCCAAGTAATGAATATTATAATTGCATTTGAAAGAAAAGAGTCTGGTGCCAGTGTTTGTAATGGCTCCCATGGTCGGGTGTTTTGTCTTAGTTTGAGGTGGGTGGCAGTTTTATTTCACTGCCTTCACAGATGAAGGCAGCTGTGGGTGATTTGCTGGGCTGGGAAGGGTTAGGAAGTCAACTGGTCTGAATGAGCATTGGTGTTTTACTCATCCTCTACTGCTTGGCATATCCTGGAAACTATCTCTAGAAAAGTGAAGGAAAGTTAGGTCCCAGTGACTCATGCCTGTCATTCTAGCTATTGGGGAGGCTGAGATCTGAGGATCGCAGTTTAAAGTCAGCTGGCGCAAGAAAGTTTGTGAGACTTTTATCCAGTCAGTCAGCAAAAAATCTGAAAGTAGAACTGTGGTTCAAGTGGTAGAGTGTTGTCTTTGAGTAAAACAAGCTAAGAGAGCCCTAAGTTCAAGCTCCAATATCAGCATGCATATGCATGCATGCACACACACATACACTAATAATACTATCATATACTTCATATGTTTTTGCAAAACTCTAGGCATTCACACACAGTGAGAGTAAGGGAGGATAGTCTTAGGAGAGGAACACAGGGTGCAATGCCTATGTGCATTTGATCATACAAAAGAATATTTCTTGAAATGAATTCCAGGAAGTGGAAACGAGGTTTTTTCCTTTGTTACTGTTTTTCTTTTCTTTTCTTTTTGTCTTATTTGTTCATTTATCTGTCTTTGGAGGGTAAGGGGAGGCACAGAAATAGAGGGAAAAAGGGTGAACAAATGTAGTAGTGACACTTACTACAAGCTGTATTGAAAACAATCTATATAATTGTGGGTGGGGGATGGGAGGGAAAAACTGGGAGAGAGGGAGGGAAGTGGTGACATTGTCCAAAAAAAATGTACTCATCACCTGACTTATGCAGTTGTAACCCCTCTGTATGTCACCTTTATAATAACAATAAAAAACTTAAAGAAGTTTGACTTTAATGCACTGTATATTGTATCAAAGCTAGTGTTTTTTATTGTTGCTCAGTTTTTCTGTTGCTATTCAGTCTTCCATAATTTTCAACTTTTAGTATGCTTTATCAAATTCATCCAGAAGATACAGAGTGATATTTATTTCCATGTACTGAGGACTTAGTGTGTGTCAAATACATGGCCTTGTTCATATTTAACCCTTTCAACAATTCCAGTTAACCATCCCATATTTCAAACACCAGAGGAAGAATGATACAGATTTATAACTATGAACTTGGGCTAGCTGGTCTGCCATTTCTTAGCACCACCAGTGCCCTGGCTCGATTATTATTATTTTTTGGCAATTTAAAATGAAAACAGAGGGCTGGGAAGGTGGCTCAGTGGTAGAGCGCTTGCCTTGCATGCCTGAGGCCCTGGGTTCGATTCCTTAGCATCACATAAGCAAAAAAGAAAAAAGCCGGAAGTGGCGCTGTGGCTCAAGTGGTAGAGTGCTAGCCTTGAGGTGAAGAGTGAAGGACAGCACCCAGGCCCAGAGTTCAGGCCCCACGACCGGACCCCCCCAAAAAACAAAATGAAAACAGAGAAAGCATTGTTAGTGAACTCTTCAGCACAGTCTGGGAGGAACAGATGCTTATTTAGGGGATTCTGGGCATTGAGGCTCTAGAAGAAAGCCAGTCTTAGGCAGGGGAAGAGCAACTTCCAGAGCTCTGATAGCTTAGCTCTAACTCACGTGTACGTTCACCCATGGGGACGTAACAACTTGAGTTTTCTGAGTCTAGCCTGATGGTGTCTTTAGTGAACCAGGTTGCTTCTCTAAAAACAGGTGGTAATTGCTCACTTAAAGCTCCACGGAGGGGCTGAGGTGGCCAGATCATCTTCTCCATCTCCTCCCCCAGACCGGGCGCTTCATTTCACCCTCCTATTCTGTATCCATCCTAGCCTAGGTCTGGCCAGTGCCATCGGTCTTCTCAATGCCCCCCAAGAAACAGGCTCAGGCCGGGGGCAGCAAAATGGCGGAACAGAAAAAGAAGGAGAAGATTATCGAAGACAAAACTTTTGGCTTAAAGATTAAGAAAGGAGCAAAACAACAGAAGTTTATCAAGGCTGTCACTCACCAAGTTAAATTTGGTCAACAAAATCCACATCAGGTAGCACAGAGTGAAGCTGAAAAGAAATTGAAGAAAGATGATAAGAAGAAAGAATTACAAGAACTAAATGAGCTGTTCAAACCTGTTGTTGCTGCTCAAAAATTAAGTAAAGGTGTGGATCCCAAGTCTGTGGTGTGTGCCTTCTTCAAGCAAGGGCTGTGTACTAAAGGAGATAAATGTAAGTTCTCTCATGACTTGACTTTGGAGAGAAAATGTGAAAAACGAAGTATTTACATTGATGCAAGGGATGAAGAACTTGAAAAAGACACAATGGAAAATTGGGATGAGAAAAAGCTGGAAGAAATAGTGAACAAGAAGCACGGTGAGGTGGAAAAGAGAAAACCAAAAACTCAAATAGTGTGCAAGCATTTCCTTGAAGCTATTGAAAATAACAAGTATGGCTGGTTTTTGGTATGTCCTGGAGGAGGTGATAACTGCATGTATCGTCATGCACTTCCTCCTGGATTTGTATTGGAAAAGAACAAAAAAAAAAAAAGAGGAGAAAGAAGATGAAATTTCATTGGAAGACTTGATTGAAAGAGAGCGCTCTGCCCTAGGTCCAAATGTTACCAAAATCACTCTAGAATCTTTTCTTGCATGGAAGAAAAGGAAAAGACAAGAAAAGACTGATAAACTTGAACAAGATATGGAAAGAAGAAAAGCAGACTTCACATCAGGGAAGGCACTGGTCATCAGTGGTCGTGAAGTGTTTGAATTTTGTCCTGAACTTGTCGATGATGATGATGAAGAAGCAGATGACACCGTTACATTCAGGGAACAAGAGGTGATGAGATTGATGATTTCATGAGAGTAAATGACATAGATTTAAGTCTGTACGTCCCTACAGCTGTAGATGAGACAGGTATTACTGTACCCAGTCTTGAAATATTCAACACATTTGCTTTGGATAAAGATGAAAACAAATTAAGTGAAGCATCTGGAGGTAGGGCAGAAAATGGCGAAAGAAGTGATTTGGAAGAGGACAATGAAGGGGAAGGACAGGAAAATGGAGCCATCGATGCTGCACCTGTTGATGAAAATCTTTTTACTGGGGAAGATTTGGATGAATTAGAAGAAGAATTAAACACACTTGATTTAGAATGACACCGAACAAGTTGACAAAAAGTTGTCAGCTCATCATGAGTTGAAATTGACTGCATTGATTTTTTTTTTCACCTAGAAACAACAGGATGTTTATTTCCCGTGCTGGTTCTGGAGGGCTTTCTGTCCTCCAAAGAAAGAATATTCTCCCTACATCTTTTCTTCTGACTTGGCTACATCTCATAATAAGTTCAGAGTAGTTCATGATAAATTAAAAATATAATGGTCATTGCAGAAAATAATTGGTTGTTGTAACTGTTCCTAGGAAGTTCAATTGCTTGCCTAGCTTTTGATTTTCATTGCATATATGTAATTACTAGGAGCAACATAAATTTATATTTAAAGTCCCCTACATTTGATGCAGTTTTTAATGAATGATTTTCTTTCTTTCCTCTGTATTTATGTATCTTAAAGACTGCCTAAAATGTGAGCACTGTACTTGATAAAGGAAACTGCACATGCAGATTCAGTATTGTATATCTGTGGACAATTAATTGGAGAGTTGAAATAGAACTTCTTTGATCAGATAGGATCAGCTATAATGTTGTGTGTTAAACTGTCTTGAGTTTTTCTTCTTCTTTTTTGCCAATAAAATTGTAAATAAAGACCATCATACATTAAAATAAAAAAAAAAGATCCATGGAGTAGCCAGGTGCCAGTGGCTCAAGCCTGTAATCCTAGCTACTCAGGAGGCTGAGATCTGAGGATCTTGGTTTGAAGTCAGCTTGGGCAGGAAAGTCTATGAGACTCCTATTTCCAATTAATCACAGAAAAGGATCCCAAAGACAGTGCCCAGGGCCCTAGGACCAGCAAAAAAAAATATCCACAGGGTAATCCACGAAAGGTTCATTTTTGTTGTGGAGTAGTGGAGTAGTGGAGTAGAATGATCCAGTTAAAATTTGGCTAGGCTTTTGCATTTCACTACTTTAGCAAGAAGCATGAAATGACTTCCTAGCATATTTTTTGGTTGGTGAGCACGAGGGGAGAACTTATCAGGAGTAAAGCACCCTATTGACTACCCTGACTCTTGGAGGAGGTCAGTTTCCCTTCTTACCTGTAGAGTTCCCTATTGATTTGAAGCCAGAAATTTAGCAAAGAGGGTCACAGAGGAAAGTTGCCTGTGCAATGCTTTGTTTGAGGACCTGGTCAGCGTGAAGGATGCCTGGGGCTGGGTTTGTGGTGGAGAACAAAGGCAGTCTCCCTCACAAGACAGTGGCAGCTGAGCGTGTGGAAGAAATTGGACCATGGCTAGGCTGGGCGTCACCACTGATAGCTGGCATGCTGCCAGCTCCAGAGCTCTAAATGTCTGCAGAGGGAGGCGGGTAAGAAGTAGTGAGGCAGTAGAGCCCAGAGCTCTTTCTCTCAGCCGAAGAGGTGAGGTGCACCTTTCCTTCTAAAGATGGTTTGCCTGATAAAGTGTGTGTTTGATACACGGAGAGACAGTTTCCCAGGAGAATTGACACTGAGTATCACTTTCAATTATGGTAGTCAGGATGGGTCCGGTGAAAATGGAGTGGAGGTTTCCAGCCAAAGGAGAAAGGCAAGTTCAGGACTAGGATGTCCAATGTGATCTCTGATTACAACATTAAATGGATATATCTGTGCAGAGAAAAAGTCTGGAAAGATCTATTCCGACATATTCTCATTTGACTTGAAGACCTTAGATGGATGAGAACTTCTTTGTAACTTGAGTGTTGTGGAGCTCCCCAAACTAGTTATGATCCTAATTAACTCTTAGGGGAGTTCTTAGGGGGAACATTGGCAATGTCCTTGGTTTTCAAATGGAAATAAAATCAAGCATGCATTCTTCTGATTGACCCTCATATTTCCACAATTTCCCCAGAGGCATGATGGCTGAAGCAAAGGATGTGAAATTTTAAGTGTGAATTGCTTTTATATTCACACAAAACGCATCCAACTTCTTTCACATTGCAAAATAGAAAAAAAATCATGTAGATATTTAATGACATGGAAAAATGTTCTGAACACAGTGCCAAAGGAGGGGGTGGGGTCATTACCAGGACATTCAGTGTGTTCTCTCCTGTCGCAACAATAAATGGATATATCTCTGCAGAGACAAAGTCTGGAAAGATGTATTCCAACATACTCACTGTGTTTATTCTCTGTTTGATGTAATAATGGGAGCTTTTTATTTCTCCATTCTGCTTATCTGTGCTGTTTGAATATTTTTATGACAAACATGTATTGCTTTTGTACTAAGGGGAAAAAAAGTGCAACATAGAGTTTTTATTTTCAAAAACCAAAAGCAAATCCAAACAACCCAAACTCCCACAGCCTTTGTGTTCAGGGTAGTGTGGACTCTGAGGTTCTTTCATCTAATGGGGGTGTAGATGTCAGGGCTGCTAGATAATGACTCAGAGACTGTGGAACAAGTTTCCAACAGGAAAGAGCTTGTGGGCTGACCTCTGGGGTCAGCTGTGGAGCTTATTACAAATTCCATCCAGGGAGTAAGGGAAAGGGGGATGTCCCATTTGAGAAAAGCTGCTTTGATGTGCTTCCCCTGGGTGGGCACAGGAATGCAAGGCTCAGGCTCTCTCTCTCTAGTCATTAAGGAGTTATAAATACCCATCTCCAAAGGGAAGACCCATCAGCTTCACTCCTAACAGGAAGGAAAGATTTACAGGTAATTTCCTCTCCCAGTGCAGAAATGTGATTAAGCAAATGCTTGGAAGGTTATTTCCCCCCTCTTTGCTACCCTGTAAATAGTGCTGTTTTTTTTTTTTAATTTCTCTCCTTCTCTATGATGTCGGCAATGACTTTTATAGACACACATTGACATCTGGTGTTTACTCTGCCCCTTGCTCCCATTGATCAGGAGAGTAGGGCGTGGGGAATACTCTGTGATTAGGGGGACTAGGTCCAGGGTTCATGTGTGTAAATGTGTATGTGTGTGTTTGGGGGTTGGGTGTGTGGGTGGGTGGGCATGTATGTGTGTATATATATATATGTATGTTTGTTTGTTGGGACTGGGGATTGATCTCAAAGCCTGGGTACTGTCCTTTAGATTTATTTTTTACCTCAAGGCTGGTGCTCTACCACTTGAGCCCTACCTCCATTCCCAGCTAGGATTATTTTTTGGTGGTAGTTGGAGATATGAGTCTTGTAGACTTTCCTGCCCTGGATGATTTCAAACTGTGACCCACCGTCCTTAGCTTCCTGAGTAGGTAGGATTACAAGGTGTGAGCCATCGGTGTCTTGCTAGGGATTGTGCTGCACTGGATATGGGCTGGCCCAGATCTCCTGTAGTGAGCAGCTCTTACTTATAGGCTCTGCCCACCCCAGTACCAAATCAACTTGACTCCATGGTGTCTTTGTACTTTGAAGCAATGAGCTAAGACCAACCTTCTTTGAAAGCCTTTCAATAATAACTGTGATGTGATGCCAAGAACTTGAGCTAGAGACAATTATTTGTTGACATCCGTGTCTGCCCAGAGACTATTTGTTTGATCTTAAGAAGTGGTATTAATTTCTCTGAGACTTAACTTTTGGCCTCTGTGCAGCTGAGGTCACCTTTCTGGGCTGGGGGGAGGAGAGGACAGGGGGAGAGGTTCTACAAAAGGATGTCAAAATGAGAGTCCTGTGAGTTTTTTTCAGGTTCTACAATTGCCACTGATATAATCTAGGGGGTCTTAGGTCCTTTATTTCCTCCACCAAATAAAGTATTGTGAGGCAGGAAAAGAGGGAACAGAGGCAAAGTTTATTGAGAAGTGAGTAAGATGTCAGGGAAGTGGAGGAAACGCTCTTGCCTACTGACAGGTTGGTATAAGGACTACCACTCCCACCCAGCTAGGACTTCTGGCTGGAGGACCACTTTATATAGCATGAGTTCCTGTTCACCTGCTCCTCGAACAAAGAGGAAGAGGAGGAGAATTCAGACTTCCTGGTGCAAGAGAAAGAGAAGATGACCTGGACATCAGTATCTCTTTGTAGAGCTCATAGGGATCCCTCTTTTATAGCCCTTTCGAGTGAGTCTTGGCTTCTCTGGCTTCTGGTTGGGTCATTTTTCACTTCATCCCAAGGGGAGGGACCCCTGTCCCCTGAGTAGGTCTGCTCCCGGGTCCTCAGGGGTGTTGCCTCTGTCTGGCATGCTACCTCTGTCTTGCAGACTTTTCAGGAAGAAAAAGGGACATTTTTTCCCTACTGGGCTACTGTCTATGTGGATCTGCCTAGTTTCCCCCTTTTAGCCTCACCTTCATCATCGACTTTAACTTTCCAATGTGAGACTAGATAGGCTTTTTAAGCAGCACTTGCAAGGAAGGACAAATCTTGCCTGACAACAAGACAGGTGGCCCTTGGTACCAGTGAGTTCCGTTCCCTCTAGTCAACCAAGCATGATTCAATATCTTTCTATTGCTTCTGTAAAAGCTATAGTTAACCACTACTTCTAAGCATTGGTGTCATTGTAAGGATCAAAAGAAATCTACTCTAAAGTTGATTTGGAGTATTCTGGAGGAGCATTTGCTTTTGGGTCCATGAAAATAGGATACCATTCTATATAAGGGACTTGGGATTTGGGCATCCCGGAGGGGATTGGGTACTGGAGACAAGCCCCTAATGGATGCCATTAGGCAATTGTACCACCCAAGAGACAGTGCTTATATATGTGTGCTTCCCTGTGAACCTCATTGCAAGTAGCAATGAGATGAACTGGCTCCCACTCTTGTGGCATGAACTTCGTCTGTCTTCTGCAGTATCCAGTTGTCATGGGAGACAGAACCAGCGTAAAGCTACCTGGGCATGTTAGAAATGGTCAGTAATAGTCCATTTTTAAGACAAGGCATTTGACCCTGAGTAGAAAATTATGGGTAGCTTGTGTGCACAATGACTTGTAGATGTGACAATGTTCACACACTGGAAAACCCATAGATAAGCAGGATGAATTAGAAGGGGGAAGAACGGACTGCCATAAAACAAGAACATAGAAACAGGGTATGTGCCCCAAAGCCCCAAAGCCTTCCCACCATAAAAGAGCCAAAGGGGGT